GCGGGAGCGTCGCCACGCTCCCAAGCGGCGCACTGTAGCAGTGCACCACCGGGCCGGCCCCACTATCGCTTTTATTACAGTTTATAAGTGATGAAATACTTTTAAAGGGAAAAGCGTTCCCTGCAATTTTTTGGCTGCCTTTGAACAAGGGGTCCCACAATTCCTGTGTCTGGCCCTGTCTTTCCCCCTCCCCAGTGCCCGGTTCTCAGACCCCTCCCGTTTCTCCACCTGTCACGATGGCCTGTGGGTTGTGGGCTCCACGAGCCGCCCCTGGGCTGGCCCCACATCCCACATGCACGACGCCGGGCAGGCGGCTCAGCAGGCCCAGACCATCGTGTCTCCTTGCACCAGCCTCTCTCTCCCGTCTTGGTAACAGCCGGGATCCAACCAGACAACCCGAAGCCATTCTGGACCCCTCCCCGGATCCGTCAGCCTCCACATCCAGACAATACCAGAGGCCTCAGGAACCGCCCGTAGAAAGATGTGGGCTGGACCCAGGCCGGGGTGCAGGCGGCTGCTCTGGGACCCCCCACAGGATCCCGGCTGCCCATGTCTCTCTCGGACCACCTTCAGCCCAGGGGAGGGAGTGACCCAGCGTGTGACAGAGGAGCCACAGGGAGGCTGTGACGTGGAGAGGGAATAAGTGCCGCCGTTCCCTCACCCCTCCAGCCAGAGCTTCTGCCGGGCGGGAGAGGCGGGCCTGTGTCGCTGGGCACAGCTGACCGTCGCCTCTGGCTTCTGCAGGGCACCCCCTCCCCACCTCGGCCCACCACAACCCCGTCCCCTGAGCAGCACGGGAGGAAAGGGACATGGGCCAGTGAGAAGATGGCAGGTGGGTGGTTGTGTACCCCCAAGCCCCACACGGTCTTTGGGGTCTCTGTATCATCTGACTATGGGTCAGGCCCACTGCCTACCTCTGGAACCCCCTTCCAGGGTCCTTGCTGAGGTCCCCAACCATCCAGCAGGTAGGAGTCACTGCCAGCCTGCATGAAATGTTGGGGATTTAATCATAATTCCTGGGGGTTCCTCTTTTAAGGGGAACACTTGGAGGGGCAAACCTTACCTGCTCGGACACCCAGGTAGGTGCCTGTCTCGGTCCCCCCACCTATGGACAAGGAAGGCCTGCTATTCCCCGGTCCTGGGAAGTTCTTGTGAAAGGTTGTCACCTCTCTGTGGTGCCAGAGTGAGTGGAGGTCCCAGAGCCTCGCCCTCAGGGGAGGTGCCTGGTCCCAACTACTATTCTGAATTTGATGAAGAGCAGAGACTTTAAACTGCTTTTTCTCAGTGAACTGTGTTTCAGGGACCCAAGTAGTTGATGGCAGAAGGATTTCAGCTAATGGGTGCAGACGGGTGACAGGATAAGGGAAGGACCGTTTCCTGAACCTACTCAAACAACCTTCTAGAAACAATCGACAGCCCTAAAAGAACTGGGCGAGGTGTGCGAGGGGCTTGTGACCTCTGAACCGCTCATCAGTCTTGAGCCAAGGGTGGGACAACCAGACGTTAGCGCTCTAGATCTTGTGGAACAGCAGGGACCAGTGCCCCCGAACAATGGACCTGACTCTGATGGCTTCTCTTCTCCAGCCCTCACTGCCGATTTACAGAAATCCCAGAGAGCAGAGGAACAGCTCAAGCGACACCGAGGATGCGTCCGTCGGATTCAGAAAGTAGGAAAATTTACAGGAAAAATAGTCCTACTTGTTTTCTTCAACAAGGAATGGGCATTTAAAAAGAAGTGCAGAGGAAACTGTTATGGTTTAGACTGGGCCTGCAGTGTCAACCCAAACACGTGTCCAGAAAGTGCTTGAATCATCACAAAAAAATCAGTCTTAATTCAACTGGAAAAATTTGAGCATTCACTGGAAATTCACCAGGAAATTATTGTTAATTACATTAATAATAATAATAACACTGTGATTGTGTTAATAAAAGGTTTACCCATTAGAGATATATGCTGAAACATTTATGGGCAAAGTGATATGATGTTTGCTGTAAAATATTTCAGCAGAAGGGCCGGCCCGTGGCTCACTTGGGAGAGTGCGGCGCTGATAACACCAAGGCCGCGGGTTCGGATCCTATATAGGGATGGCCGGTTTGCTCATTGACTGAGCGTGGTGCTGACAACATCAAGCCAAGGGTTAAGATCCCCTTACCGGTCATCTTTTTTAAAAAAGAGGAAAAAAAAGTATTTCGGCATGAGCGGTGTGTGTGTAGGGGGTAGATGCAGTCGGCTTGGTAAGATGCTGATGGAATTGTGTATGTGTGACCAGCACAGGGACAAGGATTATTTCTCCAATGTGGGGACATTCACAGGGTATCAGGGCAAGTAACCAAGGACAGAGGTCCTCTGGTGGGAAGGATATAATATTTTCTTGAGTGATATTTTGTACTATTTATTTTCTTTCAAATTACGTTTGCCTGTGATCATGTGTCTTGGCTGACGTTACAGTATCAAAGTAGCATAGACTGGGTGGCTTATAAATGTTCAAGTCAAGAAAATAGAGAGAGACTAATCTCTCAGAGAACGTTCTATTTGGGAAAGCAGGACTGCAATTCAGGACACACACAGACCGTGGTGGTCTCCAGTATATCCAAAGAACGAAGAAAAGTCTGGGAGTTTTATTAGACAGATGTTGCCTTGGTTGTGAAAGGAAGCTTACCGGCAGGAGCCAAGTCTGGGGGAGCTGGCAGCTTTGCTTGGTGAGTGACAGCAGTAAGTGAAAGCCAGTGTTGGCGTCCTCGTAGGTAAACCTGGTTTTAGGACCGCAGCAGGCTGTCTCACAGCTGGGTTTGGAGAAGATTCTTCTTGGAGCAGGTGCTTTGTGCCCCGAGTGCTTTTTCCTCCTGGCTCTCAACTCCAGTTTTAGTTTGAGTGTGACAGGAGTGACCCAGTTTGTATAACCAGCTTTCGCATAAACAACAGAAATTCCTCGCAGTTCTGGAGGCTCAAGTCTGAGACTAGGGCGCCAGCAGGTGGGCTCCGGCAAGGGCCCCCTTTCCGGTTGCAGACTGCCACTGTCCCATCGTGTCCCCCCACGTGGTGGAAAGAGATAGAGGGGCTCTCTGGCCTCTCATCTTATGGGTCCCCACCCTTGTGACCTAATCACCCCCTAAAGGCCCCACCTCCTAATACTGTCACACTGGGGATTAGGGCCTCAACCTAGGAATTTGGGGGGCACATTCAGTCCATTGAACCGCATCAAAATAATTTTTTTTTAAATATTGACTCCCGTAGTTCTATTTTACATTTTATTTGCTAGAATGATTCCACCCGATTCTACCACACGTCCTGTGTCCCTTACCATGTGACGGACTTTTATGTTAAGCTGCCTCCAGTTTTCCCTGATTTATAAACTGCTCCAACAAATGACTTTGTGCGTCTCTCCCAGCGTGTGTGTCGGGGAGTTTCTTCAGGTGACATAGCCACACTTGGGTTTGCCTGTTTGGGCAGGGTGTCAGTTCCTGTGTACCCACAAAGTGCCTGGGTGCTGGTTGTGCCAGTCGGCTCTGTGGCCAGGACAGGCCGTCCATGTCCAGACAAACTCCAGCACTGCCACACTCCTAGGAATTGGCGACCTAGTGGGCGTGGAGCGGGGGTGGCCACTGTGTGATGCGCATCGTCCAGCCACGTGCCACGTTTCAGTTTTCTCCTCGGTTCTCCTCTGTGAGACGCATGTCCCCGTCCTGTCTGGCGCTCTGCCGGATGGTCCACTTCTCACTGATCCGGAGAGTTTGTGATGTGTTGTGAGCTCCAGGACATGCTCCAAAGACCTTCTTCTGTGTTCTTGGTGATACATGGAAAT